AGCAGGAGGAGGAACACTCTGCTTGGGAGTTCTTCCTAATCCTCTCTCTCTGGGTCAGCCCTATATTCTCTGCTGCTCTGCCTCCTCTCCATCTTGATAAACTAGTGGCTTTGGGACACTCACTTCATGAACACCTGAGAGATGATTGAGGAAGGGAATGAGTTAGACCCACTGTTCATTCATACGACTTACAAAACCTTTAGCACCTGGTCCCTGGGAGTTGACGATCAAGTCTGGCTTGGCAAAGTGGGTGGGTGGATAGTGGGAGCAGTTAGTCTTGATTGATGTGGGCATGACTTAAGGGTCGAGTTGTCTTTTGAGAATTTAACATCAGCAATAGAACCTAGTTGTTTTTTGTTTTGTTTTTTTAAATCACCCTGTCTTTTATTATCTCCAAGGGCTGGCAGGGTTAGACAACTCAGACTCCAGTAGTTGAATGGTAGAGTGTGTGCTTAGCATGAGTGAGGCCCTGGATTTGAACCCCAATACTGCAGAACAGTCTTTCTTCTGGGATGGGCCCTCTCCCCACTCCTTTGTACTCCACTGAGAACCCTGATGCTGGAATCAGGAGACAAGGCTGTGTTTATACTCCATTACCCAACTGTCAAGTCGCTTGGCTTTTCTAGTCCTCAGAAAATAGTGTGTGTGTGTGTGTGTGTGCATGCACATGTGGAGAAACATACAGGAATTGGTTCTTTCCACCATTTGGATCTCAGGGATCCAGCTCAGCTGATCAGGCTTGGTGGCAAGTGAATGAAAAAGGAGGGCATGACTGCTCCAAGGTGAAGTTGAGGTTTATTGTAGATATTAGGGAGAGTACAGCCAGAGGTATCTGGAAAGGTCTGAACTGAACCAGGCCATGAGGGGAGAGACAGAAGGGAGAGTGAGAGAGGGCAAGAAAGACAGGGAGCAGAGAGCACCTGGGAACCAAGAGACCAATAGCAAGCCAGGAAACCAAGAAAACGCCTAACCAAAGTGGCTGAGTTATATAGGGATCAGGCTGGGGGGGGGTAGCCTAAGTCCAGTCCCTGGGAGGGAGAGGTTTAGTGTAGAGGGTGGGGTGAGAGGAGCCACGGGTCTGGAGTAAGTCTTGTTTGGGGTCTCTTTGAGACCTAACAGCAAGCACCTTTACCCGTTGAGCCATCTGTTCAACCCCCGGGTTTTATTTATTATTAATTTGTGTGTATGAGATGTGTGTATAGACATGTGTATGGAAGTCAGTTCTCTTCTCCCACATTTCTATGGGTTCCAGGCATCCAACCTCAAATTATTAAGCCTGCACAGCAAGCTCTTTATCCATTGAACTGTCTTGCTAGCTCCCTCAATATTCTAATCTAGAAAATGAAACCAAGATTATGTGTATTTATATATCTATATATATCTATATCTATATAGTGAAATTATCCTTTAAAGAAAATAGCTGAAAGTGTAACAGTGTCCACATAGCTTTATGAATCTATCTCATGGTGTGATATTTGGGTCATTTGGGGATTATTCTCTCTTGGCAGTGAAGAATTGGAAAGGGTTGAATCAACTTTTCTATGCAGTGTTGGCTATTGTTGTTGGGATGTTACCAAACCCTGAGACACTATCTGAAAATATACTCCTCTAAATGGGGTTCCTAGGGTGATAACAGGGGAGCTCTTATGAGGTGCAACCAGGCCCAGGCAAGTTCTGGAAGCAGGCCTATCTGCTGGTGACCTAACATCTCTGCAACCTGCCCTGTCCTAAGAGGTGCTGAGTGTTTGAGGAGTTGTACCTTCTGCCTGGGAAGAGAGGCATATTCCTAACACAATTGCAGGAGAACATGTTGGCATAGAATGGACTGGTCTGTAGTTTCTGTGTCTTGTGGATTTACTGTCCCTTGATAAACCCTCCTACATGACTTTAGGCACCTATCAGCTTTAGGCACCAAGTTCCCCTGCCAACACCTTGTTCCTTCTCGCCTGGATGGTCAAGTCCTTTCACAGATTTGATTTCCAGAACAACCCTCAAAGTTAGATGGAGCAGGCCTTATCACCTACACCTTACCTTGAAAAGGGAAGGAACTAAGGACAAAGGAGTTAGATAGGCTGTTTGGAGTCATGGTCAGTTAAGAGAGACTCTTGATTAGAACTGGGGCTCCTATCACTGGCTCAGAGATGGGAGATTCTGTCTACAGTGAGTTTTCTGACAGGGAGTGTCCTCAGGTCTCCATGTTAGTATTGGCAGTGACTCCCCCTGCATAATCCAAGATTGAGGAGTCTCTGCTCTTTCTCTGCATCTTACCCTGAGTGGCTCTGTCCTAGCTTAGGGGAGCCCTTACTTTTTATCCTTCACACTTGTGTCCTAACTTGGTTGCTATGTGGGGAACTCACCTTCTAGCTGCAGAGACTTCTTGGGGCAAAGACCTGTAGTTGATGCTATCTTCACCTGTAGTCCCAGCACTGGGGAGGCTAGGGCAGGGGGATCATGAGTTTAAGGGCTGCCTGAACTGCATAGTGAGGCTCTCTCTCTCTCTCTCTCTCTCTCTCTCTCTCTCTCTCTCTCTTTCTACACACACACACACACACACACACACACACACTCAAGCTACAGCCCAGAGGTAACTCAGTCTCTGGCCTTGAAATCTAGATTTCTTTGACTCTAAAATTCCCCAAGGGGTTCTAGAATGCTGCCGCTGCCAGGGTCAACACCTACTGCTCTGGGACTAAAAGAATCAATTAGTTGCTTAGAGTACAAGGATCTGCGCATCTGGGTGTGCACTGGAACCAGGGGAAAGAGCACTTTTGAAAACACACTGATCCCCTCCCTGGCTATACATTCCAGGCCATGTGAAGCAGTGACTTCCAGTCCTAGGCATCTCTTACTCAGCCCTGGTCTATGCCAGCTGTTGCTGCTGAGGGTGAGCCAACCGTACAAATGTTTCCTTTACAGCTGTCTAGCAGTGAATCATGACTCCCATTTCACAGGCCAGGAAACGGATGCTCAGAGCAGGTAGTGACCTGATCCACATGACCTCATGAAGAAGGCCCTGAACCAGGTCTGTCTAACCTTGAGACCTGTCCCAGTTGCCCAGACCCCATCCATTGCATTATAGGCCTAGTGGAAAATTTTCCCTGATCTCCCTGAAACAGCCGAAGGCAAGGGGAAGGCAGCCCAGGGCTGTGGCTCTCCTTCCTGGTACCCTCCCAAGCCTGAGCAGAGGGCCCTTCCCAAGAGAAGAGAGGCCTCAAGATGCCTGGTGTTGCCTGGTGTTTGGCTCCATCCTAGTTACCCACTCTCAGAGTGCCTCCCTTTGGAGGGAGAAAGATTAGGTCTGTCCCACTCCTCATTCTCACTCCTACCCTGGAGAAACTAAGAGCCAAAAGCACTCACTTGCCGTTTGAGAGCTTGAGGAATTTTTCAGTCACAGGACAGAAAGATGGTTCCATTCCCTTCATCAGACCAAGGAGATCTATATCAAGGTGACCTGAAACCTTTAGCTTTCCTTTACAATGTCATGTTTGTACCCTCCCAGCTCAGGACCTAGTCAGTGCAGCTTGAGGCTGGGAACTGGGGGATTAAGGTGTCAAACCTAACCCTGTACCACCACCAGCATGCCTACTATTTAAAATCCTCAAGTTTCACTTTTCTGTCAGTCAAGTCACTCAGGATTGTGCGAGAACAGTTACAGGAACTCTGCCAACAGGCTCTTGAATATGTTCACTCTAGCCTTCCTCAACCTGCATCAGCCCCTAGTGTGTGGACAGCTCAGAGCCAATACTTGGAGCCTGGATAGCTGAAACTTTAGAGCTAGTGGACAGCGTAATGTAAATTTGGCCCAAAGCCTGGTTCCTAAGGTCCTCTTCTCCCCCAGGGCTCCCTCTGCACCTGTTGTCTCTGCCTTTGTTCCCTGTCAGCTCACGGCACATGTTGGGACAGTGTTGAGTGAAGGGCGAAGGAGGATAGATGAATGAATTTGCTTTTGATGATGTCTCTCAAGTGCTTGTGTGGGAGGCTGTTTAGCTGTTGGTTCTCTGTTTGCTTGCTCGGCTTCACTTTATTTGTGTAAGCCAGTTTATTTAGAAGGTCCTCTCTTTAAAGATTATTCTAGCAACAGAATACTCTAGATGCAATGCCATTTTCCAAGGTTGGGACAAATACCCAGTTTCTCACAACTGTAACTTTTACACCAGACCCACTAAGAAAGTGTGTCTAGGCTTGGATCTAGTGGGCTCCTTATTAAGCCATTAATCAGAAGGTAATAAACATTTCTGAGTTGCCCAAGCAGTGGGTACTTGAGGTGGAGGAACATAGGGCAATGTGGAAGGTGAGAGGAAGGACCTCTGAGGGTAAGGAGGGGAGGGACACTAACAATCCCCAGGGATTTAGATCTGCCCCAGCTCAGGGCCTGAATTGAGAGGAAATATGGGCTGCCTTCAGAGCTCAGGGCTGCTTGGATCTCTGGCATAGACACCATTTCAAGGAGCCTGAGAAGGGTCATGTCTCCTATAACTATCTGAGAAGCTTTGTGGGCAGCTGGCTTTGATGTCTGAGTTTGTCATTAATTCTGTTATGAGTCAGTTGACCTCTCATTATGCCCTGTTACCAAATCTTACAGCTTCCTGTTCACACTATGATGATTATTAACCCTGCCAAGTGGCCTTTACCCCAACCCCATCCTAGTCAGGATTCTTACCAATCTAGCCTATTTATGGGCATTGTGACTTTAGCTGGCAATTTAGACTTGTGTTCTAGCTGAGGCTTTGTAAGGACCAGGCCGTGCCATCCTAACCAAGCCAATACTTTCCAGGGTCTTGGTGTTTGGCTTTGTATACCCAGTAAGATGTCAAGATCTTGTAGTAATAGAAGAGAACGCCAGTCCTGCCCTATCTCAGTCACTGCATGTCATCCAGGCGGGGCCAGCGATATGCCTTTGTGTCTTGGTAGAATAATCGGGTAGACTGTCTTGGTAGCTAGCGATAAGGATTACTTCTCCAGTGGCCATAACTTAACAGTTTGGGCCCGTGTCCCCACAGCGGCCAGTTTGCCATCGTGAAGAGGTGCCGTGAGAAGAGCACAGGGCTGGAGTATGCAGCCAAGTTCATCAAGAAGAGGCAGAGTCGGGCCAGCCGTCGTGGCGTGTGCCGCGAGGAAATCGAGCGGGAGGTGAGCATCCTGCGGCAGGTGCTGCATCCCAACATCATCACTCTGCACGACGTCTATGAGAACCGCACCGACGTGGTGCTCATCCTCGAGCTGTGAGTGGGACGCCAGGACCCATGATGGGGGGGGGGCGGTGGGGTGGGCAGTCACAGGCCCCAGGGCTTACAGCAACCAGAGAAGACGCAGTTAGTAGTAGGCAGTTTCCCTCTGCCTCAGTTATCCTGTCCTCCTCCTAAAATGGGGCCAACGGCGAGGATGAGCTTGCCAAGTGGCAAGGGTATGGAGAGTAATAATGGCCTAACTCACTTTCACTGGATCTTGGAGATCAAAGAAACCAGTGATTCTGGCTTATTTCTTGGCAGAGGAGCATTTATGAGGGTGAGAAGGAGCAGAGGGTAGCTTGGGTAGCAAATGCTGTCAGAGAGGAGTCCATCTCAGAGAGGGAGAATGAACTGAACTTCCTTTCAACTCTTCCAAAACCCTTCTCTAGCCCTTCCCTAGGGAAAAACCATTACACCGGCACTGTGTTTATTTCTTGTGTTATCACAGTGAGAGCTGTTGTTTACCCACCAAACCACCTCACTGGTCAGTAGCTACCGTTTAAAAACCCCAGCTATATCCCTGCATTCACAAGGCATCTTGTGTTTGTCATCTTGCTCAGTCCTGGTTTTAGTGAGTCTTACTAACTCAGAAAGGTTATCTTATATTCACTCTGTTTACCCTATTTCACCCTTATAGTGATACAGTCACAGAAACCCTTAGCATACCCATTTTACAGATCAGAGCACCAACAAGTCAGCATTCTACAGCTGGGAAATAACAAGGCTGAGACTGCTATCTAAGCGGCTTGTGCAGATAGCCACGCACATGGTATATCCTTGTGATGGCCTTGCTGGAAAGGACTTCACAGTGGTTGGTGGAATTTAGTTAGGTGATATCGAGTCTCCAGCTTGGTTTGCCACTCTGATATTTTCCTGAATGAACCCCCATGGAATGAGCAAGTGACATCTGTCAGGTAGTAGAGTCTGAGTCAGGCTATGGCATACGTAACAATAGCCTTATCCAGCCTATCAGCAAGACCCCATGATAAGAGTATTTTGCCTGGGTGGTGGTGGTGCACACCTTTATTCTCTTTAATCCCAGCACTCAGAAAGCAGAGGCAGGTGGATCTCTGTGAGTTTGAGGCTGGCCTGGTCTACAGAATGAGTTCCAGGCTAGAACAAAGGCTACACCTCCCTCCCCACCGCCCCCCATGCTAAAGTCCAACCACCCTGAAAACAAACAAAGCTTATTCTGTAAGTAAGTAGTACATATCTGTCAATCAGCAGAGGAGTGGAGTGTTTGTCCCAGAAATTCTTGATTTTGTGACTGTGGGCAAGTTACCTGTGAACAAGGATGTCTCCTTAACCTGCCCCCAGATTGAGTGGACCACCTGACATTTGAAATCGCTCTAATTTGAGACTTACCTGTACATTGGCAAGATATAAATTTATCCAGCAGAAGAGAATTTGCATCTTCTAGTATTTGATTCTTGCATTGTCAACTCCAGTGTTTAACTGAATAGAATTGCTCATGCTCTCCCCTCTCTAGGGCCCAGTGTCCTTTGTGTTTCACCCAAGGACCCCCTTGCAAAATGGACTAGTTACTATCTGTGCCTCCCTGACCCAGACAGGAGCCTGATGAAGGCCTTCCTTTCCTTCCCCAGGAATGGTCAGTCATGTGGACACTCCACGTGGCATGCACTAAGGCTAAGGGCCACTGGTTAGCATCCTGATCTGCAGCAGATAGTGACAAGTCCATTTTCCTCAGAAGGCCAGAGTCGCTTCTTTAAACGGCTATTTATTGTCACCCCCCCAAGCCCCACCAGAACTGTAAGGAAATGCATCTGTAACCCTTCAGTCCAAACACAGCTACTTTCTCCATGGTTCCTCCCAATCTTTATTGCTTTGTATATAATTTTACAATTTCCTGTTCCACTTTTTTTCTCCAACCAACAAAATTGCATATATAGTTCCTTTTTCCATTTAAATAACTATATCACATTTCATTAAATTACACACCACCATTTCTCTATTGCTAGACATTTGCTTATAATTTTCCAGCTGTTACCCATTCCAAATTTTCCTGTTAAAATTTTTTCTTCCCAATGTTTTCCCCTTTTCTTTTGAATTAGTTATTTCAGCTGAATCTCCAGGAGTGGAGGATTAAGTTAAAGATATAGACTCTTGGTGACTTCTCTTCCAAAGGATGCAGGGACAGGGCAGTGTTTCTATTTGCCCTCAGCCTTGGTGGCTCTGGGTCATTTGTTTAAAAATACATGTTTTCCTTTATTCATCTTTATAGTTATAAATAAGTATCTTATAATTTTAATTGGTGTTTCTTTAACTGCTGGGAAAATGGTCTCTTCCTGTTTGTGAAACCCCAGCATTTGGGGTATAAAATGCTTCTGTCCTGTCTTGAGTTCTCCCAGTCAGGGTTTACAAACTTACATTCAGTCATCTTGTGAGTGCAGATGCACCATGGGTAATATCAGTCCCCACACAGATGCCCCCAGACTTGCTATGCTAGTTGAGTGCGAGTTGTCCACAGTTTCTGTTTCCTTCACTTCTGGTCTGCCTCATTGTGCTTGATATGTCTGACTGAGGACCACTAAGGGTTTATGAAATGAGAAAAGAGCCAAGTTTTCAAAGACCATGCTCAAACCATGTTTGCTGGGTGCTAAGGAGGATTTCCTAAGTGAGGAAGACTTCTGGGAAAGGGAGGACTTCCTGGGGAGAAGGGCTTCTTTCAGGGGAGCAGGAAGACTTCCTGGGGGAGGAGGAAAACTTCCTAGGGGAAGAATTCTAATTTTTGCTTGGTCTTGGTGACTCTTGTTGGACTGATCAGAAGTTTTTGGCATTCAAATCCTCCCTGGACAGTAGGTTTGCCCAGTGGTTGGACATAAGTGTTATTATCCACTTGTTCATTTTTAGAATTTACTTGTTTACTTCTGAGTGTTTTTCTCACACAGCATCTCACTAATGTAGTTCAGGCTGGTCTAGACCTCATGACACTCTTGGCTTAGTCTATTAAATGCCAAAGTATGGTTTTGTAGACCTATGTTACCACATGTGTATGTGCACATGTGTGTGTTCAATATATGTACGTGTGTGTGCATGAATGTGTGTGGAGGCCAGAGGAGGACATCCAGTGTTCTGCAATACCATATTTTTCCCATTTCCTTGAAATATGGTCTCTCCCTGAAACTAGAGCTGGGCTGGCAGCCAGCAGACCCCAGTGAGCCTCCTGTTCCCGCCTCCCACAGTGCTGGGGTTACACAGTGCTGGGTGCATGGCTACACCCAGCTTTTTACATGGGTGCTGAGGATTTGAACTCGAGTCCAGTTGCAGAACCATTGCTCTTACTCACGTGTACATGGAGTTTCAGAAGCTTCCATTCATACCCACTAAGCCATCTATCTCCCCAGCCCCTCACTTGTAGTTTCAATGGGCACTGTTCCCAGCACCCTATTTAGCAGCTGGAAACAGGGTCTGCTAGGTGCTTCCTTTAATTTCTGCTAACGGGGCCAGTCCTAGAAGACATGCCGAGCCCTGACTTCTCTTCCTTTCAGCTGTCTTTATCCCATCTGTGGCCGTAGAAGCACCTGTTTCTGGTCATGGCAGTTGAACAGAGGGGTTAGGAAGGATTCTGTTGTCTGTATAAGTTGACTTCTGTATAGCATAAAGACTACACTCAAAATCTCAGTAGCTGAGCTCATGCCATGTGTGAAGAATACTTCCTTGCAGCTCTAAATGCCCCAGGTCCTCCTGGACTCCAGGATGGCAGCAAGTGATTCCCTGGCAAATGCTCCTAGGGAGTGCTGATGCTTCCTAGTTTCCTGGGCCCTGGCAGCTATGGCAACATTGTTTTTCCATCATTGCTGATGGGGATCATTTATATACATGTTACCAGAAGAACTCTGGAAAGCATCTCACCAGGTGTACTAACCTGCCAGTGAGAAGGGGTTGACCTGAGAACACTATTACAGAAGAGGGCAGCCAGACGTTAACCTTTGTTCTTCATATTGACATTGGAGAGATTTGATTTGGGGTATGAACTGAGAGAAGCTTGGAAGGAGCCAGAGGGTGGTGGTGCACACCTTTAATCCCAGCACTGGGGAGGCAGAGGCAGGTCTCTGTGAGTTTGAGATCACCTTGGTCTACAGAGAGAGTTCCAGGATAGTCAGAGATGTTACACAGAGAAACCCTGTGGAAGAGGAAAAGGAGGAAGAGGAGGATTGGAAGAAGAAAGAAGAGGAAGAAGAAGGGGTGGGAGGAGGAAGAAGAGGAGGAGAAGCAGCTTAGAAGGAGATGGGAAAGGACCTAGGACAAAGGTCTTAGACCTGAGAGGCTCTTGGTTAAAAACTATGTTGCCAGGTTTGTAGTGACGTTGCTGTGTCCTCATTCCCAAGTAACTTGGGCTTCATGATGTGGAGAGAGTAAAGTTAAAGGGGCATATGGTGGACTTGAACTCAGATGGTCTGGTTTTAAATCCTGGTTCTGTCACTTAGCTGTGTGACACTTAGCTTGCTCTCTGTTTCCTCGTGTGATGATGGGAATAGAGAAGTAATCTGCATTCCTCCAGGTGGATATGAGGGTCAAGTGAGAGAATATTCTGGAAGGTGTACTGTAGAAATGGTGAACTTTAAGTAAACTCTTTTGACCTCCTCCAGCGCTGTACCCCTGTGGTGATGCTGTACCTAGTGTTTACTTCAAGGACCTCCCAGCACTGATTCAACTCTGTGTCAGGAGTCCTCCCAGCCTGAGGCGTCCAGGAGACATCTTTTCTCATTCTTGCTTCAAGAAGAAAAGCTGATGTCCTGGACCTTGCACAATGCCCATCCCAAGGTTAAGACTGTGGAAGGACTGGGCCTCCACCCTAGTCTGGGGAACAGACTCAGAGTGACCCTTGCAGCAACTGTCAGGTTCCAGTGCCTGCCCCAAGTCAGACTGGGGACAGGATGCTGGATGATGTCACCAGGAGACACAGAAAATGCTGTGCTAGACTCCTTCCCAGCACCCAGCCAGCCCCTAAGGGCCACACCCACATCACACTG